CTAAAGTCACCATTTCCTTTATTTCTCATTAAATTAACATTCTTGCCATTCTTATTCACAAGGAGGCATTTTGACTTTAAATATTATTATGGAAATAAACAACAATCATCCATTGAGCCGCATTTTACAGGAATTTCCTTATTCTTAAGATACTCTTTATCAAATCTATTCATCTCATATACATGCATAAAATCTTTACAAATTGATTAAAAAGTAAAGTAATTATCACTAATAAAACATAATCTGAGTCCGAGTGAATTTATTGTTTATACAACGTTCCATTTTTTATCCAATTGTTATTATTCTATTACTAATATTTTTTAATCAAATGAACAAGATATCACTTTATTTTATTGTTCATTTATGCTTAATGAATATACCTAACTAGTATGGTTATTTATAGTTTATTAACACAACCATTTATCCTATTTCATCCAAAATTTTATTGTTTTATCAAAACTCCCAGAGATAATTAGATCGTCTGTGTTGTTTAACAATAAACACTGTATACTTTATTAATGTCCAATCAATTTTTATTAGCATTACCATTAATTATTTCCAATCAACTACCATATTATAATTATACTATCTGAACTTCCAGATACAAAATTATTTGTATTTTTCATAAAATTTAAAGTTTTTACTTCCCCTGTATGTTCACTTAAGAATTATATTTAATTCAGCTTCTCTTATTAAAGTTGAAATACTTTAATATCCTTATTACATCCAGCAACTACAACTGAGTTATCTTGATTAATAGCAATAGCAAGACACTATTCATTTTACTTAATTGAATTTTATTTCATGAGGTCAAAGGTGAATGGATTTAGATTTGGTTTTGTGATTAATTTTTTTTTCGGTATTTGTTAAATCTATTCACTTATTTTGGAAGGTGGAATTTCTTAATTATCAGTTTACTTTATATTAGTTTGATTCTTAATTTTTTTTAGTATTTCATCTACAATCGATTTTGTTTATTCGATTGATTGATTAAGTTGTTTAAATAACCTATCTTCGCATTCTTCCATTTGGCATAGACCTTTTATTAATTAGTCAATCTGTGATATTCCTAATTCTTGTAAATATTAATTATTTAAGTTATCATAAGGAAGGAACAACTTTTTAAGACAATCAAAGGCGATTTTAGAGTCTTAAATATTTTTTTAAACATTCTGAATATTAAGGGTTCTTTACTTAATCCATTCAGATAGAAGTCCGAAATTTGTTACATTATTAAGATGTTAAGAGTGGCGCTGCAAGCAAAAATGACAATAAGGTCTTTAATTTGGGCATTTACTATCTATACAAAACCCTATTATTTATTCATTTTGATGATCTGCTTAAGTACATCTTATCTACATTTTCTAATTCTATTAAAATAAATATTAAAATTAAAAAAAATTACTTTGATTTAAATTAAAAAATTCTAAATAATTTAAATTAAAATAGTGGCAATCAAAATTAATAGAGGAACAAAGAATAGTTTTATAAAATCAAGTCAAAAAATAGGAATTTCAATTGCATTCATTACAAACAAGCCATTTGCATTTAATTATTTTCAAATTTTGCTACCAGTGACCTTTAAACCTAAAAATTTTAATTTGCTAAATACTTTCATTATAATTTATCTTTAAGAATAAACATATGTTCAATTAAGTTGTCTTGTGTTAATAAATATTATTTAAACCTCTTTTCTGTTGTGTAAGAATAGTAATGAAAAAAAATTAACTAGTTAACTTGGCTCTTTGATAAATACTATTCTCATATTTTTAGACTAAAATAATTAGATTTAAGTCTAATTATTTTAATTAATTGCAAAAAATACACATAAATTATCATTATCAATAGAGACTCTAATTAAATTAATAAAAATTGGTCAGATAATAACAGATTTTTGAATCTCAGACCCTTTATCTATTCGA